TTCCCAGTGTTCATAATGGGGTGGCTGGACTGACCTGACAGGGCTGTGACCAGAGCAGTCAGGGCCAACTTCACAGATGTGATGTGGCCTTGGGGTTCAATAGGCAAACAGCAGCTCAGGAGTGGCTCCTACCTGAGACACTTGGCCAGCACAAGGCCCCTCCGGCAAGAAGCTGGGTTGGGTCTGCCTGTCTGGATTGCCTAACTGGATGACCAGTGTTAGAAGATGGGTTCATGTAGGAATGTTCTAGACTTTTCTGTGTCACATACACTAATAGTAATCCATTGTGAGTCCCTTAGAATCAACAATGTCCCAAATGTTATATCAGTGAGGACGTGGTTTTCTAGAAATCAACAAGGCTGATGGAAAAGGAGGGTCTTGGTGCCTGTTCAATATTATTAATATTACTATTATTTAATACTAATTAACAAGATTATTATTATTATTAAATACTATTTAGGGCCGGGCGGTGGTGGCGCACGCCTTTAATCCCAGCACTTGGGAGGCAGAGGCAGGCGGATTTCTGAGTTCGAGGCCAGCCTGGTCTACCAAGTGAGTTCCAGGACAGCCAGGGCTATGCAGAGAAACCCTGTCTCGAAAAAAAAATAAAAAAAAAAAAAAAAAAAAAAATACTATTTAGGGGCCAATGTGATGGTTTAGTGGGTAGAACTATTTGGTACCATCCCTGATCACCTGAGTTTGATGCCCGCGAACCCACTCCTGAAGGCTGTTCTCTAACCTTCTCATAGGAAGCATGGTTCCACATGGACACACACACACACACACACACACACACACACACACACACAAGTTATGGCACATGTATAGAGGTTAGACAAGAACTGGCAGGAATCAGTTCTCTCTTCCCGCCATGTGAGTCCCAGGTTGCCAGGCTCGGCACAGTGAGCACCCTTTTCTGCTGAGCCATCTTGCTTGCCCTGGGTTTCTTTTATGACTTTTACTTATTAAGGTTATTTTTTTGAAAGCCACGGCACTGGGGTCTTCATAAAAAGCCAGATACAGTGGCTGTGTATCCGGAACCCCAGCCTCCTATAGAAAGAAGCGAGGCACAAACAGGAAAGCCTCTTAGCTGCGTTCTGCAGGCCTGCCAGACTAGAGTGCACAACTCAGCAGCAGGAAGAAGCCCCGCCTCTGAGCCAAGTTCTGAAAGTTGTCCTTTGACCTTCACATGGCGCTGTGGCCTGTGCAACCTGTGCATACACAGTCTCATAGTCACACATCAATGTTTGAAAACATTTCTTAAAGTCCTGGAATATTCTAATTTATAACCCGAAGAGGCAGAGAGGCAGCCCCGGGAGGGGTACAGGGGGAGAGTTGGGATTGGGGGGGAGAAGCAGCCAATTTCCAGAGGAATAAACAAGGGAGCAAACTTTAGCATTTCTGCAGCCAAATAGGACCAAGAATCCTGCCAAAGAGAAAGTGCAGGGTTGGAGGCAAGTGTGGTCCAGTGTGGACATTCCAAAAAGGTTCTAGGCTTCAGTGTGGAGCCTGCCCCTCGGGATCGAGAGAAGTCTGACAGCCCCCAGCCCAGGCAAGCTCCTACTTAACAGAAGGTGAATGTGCTGGGGGAGGGGGTGGAGAGAGGCCTTTGGGCCTTCCTGGAGAGTTCTGTGTCTTGCACTCGGCCCTGCCTGGGATCCAAGCCAGTTCGTGCTAATTCTTAGCAGCTTGGGGACAAATACAAGAAGCTGCTTTCCTGAGGTCTGCCTGCACTTAAAAGAGGATTTTAGGTCCCCTCACCACCACCACAAAGGACAGGTAGGGAAGTATGCCGTGCTTCTGGCCTCACAGGAGGCTGGGGAGACTATTTGGGGCTGTGTGCTTCCGCCTGACTGGAAAGGAGTCAGAAGGTAATGGGGCCTAGCTTGCGTGTCTCACCACAGACGACTCTAAGGCACTTCTGGTGGCTCTAGCTGAGCAGGCAGAGCCTCTGCCCAAAGGAGATAAGTCAGTTTGTTCTGTGAAGGAACATTACCAAGAGAAACTCTCTCCGTCTCCTAACAGCTTCTGCTGACTCTCCACTTCTAGGCCTTTCCCTGGGATCCGCTCTGGCTCAGGAGGGAGCCGGTGGCCCTTCTCAGCATTCCTAACTAATGTAAGGTGACACAGGCCAGTTTCTCCGGAGGTGATGGTGTCTCATTCTACAGAGCTAACCAGAATAGTCTGAAAGACCAAGGTGCGGATGCTTTGGTGGCAGATCCCTGTAGCTGCGGGGTTCTGCAGGCTCCTATCAGTATTGTATGGCAGCACTGGAAATAATGCACACTTGACCTTTTGTATTTTTTAAAGACTGCAGGCAGTGGGTGGCACACGCCTTTAATCCCAGCACTCGGGAGGCCAAGGCAGAGGATCTCTGAGTTCGAGGCCAGCCTGGTCTACAGAGTGAGTTTCAGGACAGCCAATGCTACACAGAGAAACCCTGTCTTGAAAACCTTTTTTAAAAAAAAATTGAAATTTTTATTTTTTTTTATTTTATGTGTACCTGCTACCCACAAAGGCCAGAAAAGAGCTCTGGGGATCCGGGGACTGGAGTTTTGGATGGCTCTTAGCCACCATAGGGGTGCCGGAAACCAAACCCAGGTTCTCTGTTACAAGCTTGTGCTTGTAACCACTGCACTGCCTCTTTAGCCTCCACACTTTTGTTTGTTTGTTTGTTTGTTTGTTTTGTTTTTCAAGACAGGGTTTCTCTGTGTAGCCCTGGCTGTCCTGGAACTCACTCTGTAGACCAGGCTGGCCTCAAACTCAGAAATCCACCTGCCTCTGCCTCCCAAGTGCTGGGATTAAAGGCGTGCGCCATCATTGCCTGGCCAGCCCCCACACTTTAATTTTGTGTGTGTGTGTGTTTTCATGCACCTGCTTGTGGAGGATGGAGGTCACCCTCAGATGCCATTCCCTAGGTAGAGGGCAGCTCCTCCCACCTTGAGATAAGGTCTCTTGTTGGGACCTGGGTTCATTAATTTGGTTGGGCACCGATTGATGGCCAGAGACCCTGTCTCTACCCTCTAGTGCTGGGATCACAAATACACACTGTTATGCCTGCCTTTTTACATAGGGATCAGATTCAGGCCATTACATGCATGGCAAGCACTTTACCCATACAGCTACCTCCCTCCCCCCCCACCCCACCAGCCTTGGGGCTTTTCTTTGTAAATCAGGACACTAACATATAAGAGGTATAGTGTACAATCTGCTACTTCTGGGCAAAACATGGCAGAAGGTACCTCTGTGGAGGGAGGTCAGAATGGCTACTCCTACATGACCTCTTAGCTGCAAGGGACAGACCAGTTTTGACCGTGCAATAAGAATTGTACCGCAATCACATCATGTCAGGTTGGTATTATTCTGGATTTCCAGCACCTTTGTGTGGAGGGCACAGAAATGGAACTTGCTCTTTTCCAGGCAGAATCGGGCTGGATCTGAGAGTCTCAGAATCGGGGCTCTAGAGCAACTCTCGGACAGAAAACAAAGCTGCTTTAGTTCATGCAAAGAGCTTGGTAGTTGGCCTGGCATAACAGATGCTATGTGCAGCAGAGTAGCTCTGTGCCAAGTACCAAAGCCACAGGTTTTTTTTTTCCAGATAATTCCAGTGAGAAATTTTTGACCCAAAGCCATTCATCGTTAGGCCCTGAAGACTGCAGTCATCTTGTGTGAAACAACAGATTGTCTCTTCCTTTGATGCGTCAGGAATGCACAATCCTAAGCTGCTGCTGCAGAAGTCATATTCCCTCGGCTTCCGGGCTCACAGCGCAGATGTGCTGCAGCCCAGGCTAGCAGCTCTGAGGAATAAAAGCCTGAGGCCTGTGGGGAGTCTGAGAGAGATCGCACCATGTTCAGAGACTCAAGGTCTTGAAGTGTCATTACAGAATGAAGATGGCCAGGTGCGGTGTGTCATGCCTGTAATCCCAGCATGGGGTGGGGGGCAGGACAGAGGGTCGGGGGCAGAGGCAGGTGGATCTCCTAGTGAGTTCCAGGGCAGCCAGAGCTATGGAGAGAGACCCTGTCTAAAAAAAAACTAAACCAAAGTTGACGACAAAATTCACATCAATTTCAGAGCAATTGGAGCTCTTGGGAGGTCGAGGCAGGACTGCCATGAGCTCAAGGCCATGGCTTTGCTACAGTGAAACTCTTTATTAAAAAGGGGTGGTGGTGTTTGAGGTGATGGATCAGTGGGTATCTGCTGTACAGGCATGATGGCCCAAGTTCAAACTCCCAGTACCCATGTAAAAAGCTGGACATAGCCATGAGCCCTGTAACCCAATGAGACAGGAGTGTCACTGGGGCTTGCTGCCTGCCAGCCTAGGTTCAGGCTTAGTGAGACCTCATCTCAAAACATGGCAGAATAACAGAGCAGGACATAGAACAGCCTTCTCTGGCCTCTGTAAGGACATGTACACACAAACAGACACACACACACACACACACACAGAGGGTCTAACATGATTATGGCAGTATCCAGTCAGCATAGAGATCATAAGCACTTTTCCAGGAGTAAGCTCTCCTAATGCACAAGTGAGAACTGCCCTTGTAAATGGCTTAAGAGGAAACATCAAGTTCACAACACAGCAGGGAAAGGAAATGGGGCTCTGACACTGGGGAAAGCTGAGGGTTCCTGAAGGAAAAAGGTCTTCCTTCTTATCATTTAATAATGGTTTCATTTCACTGGGCATGGCAGTGCAGCCCTTTAATTCCAGCACTGAGGCAGAGGCAGGAGGATCTCTCCCCTGGTATAACAGTGTTGCAGGACAGCCAGGGCTGTTACATAGAAAAACCCTGTCTCAAAAAACAAACAAACAAAAGCAGGCTACTGACACTCTTCGACACATGCTCCCAAGCAACCCCATAGATGCAAACTTTATCTGGCTATTTTAGTTAAGAGTTCATTGGCCAAGGGAGTGTGGGAAAGGCTGGTGCTTCATCTTTGTTCTGAAGAACACACGAACAGCTTTCATCCTGGATAGTATCAGACTCAAACACAACTCTTTGACCTTTTAAAATAACATTTTATTTACACATCTTGATTTTTGTTTTCCTGGAACATTTTTAAAGACCTTCAAGTAGTTTGGAAACCTCAGCCCGTCGGCTGCTTCCTCTGGCCACAGCCTTCCCAGGCATTTTCCCCAACCTGTGTTGTGAAGTGCTGCTCTCATCTGGGCGGCAGGGCTGCTGGGTGGGTTGTAATGAAATGGGGAGCCAGCTTTGGAAAGTACTTCCAGTTCTCTTAATTAGCATGCTACCACCCACCCCAGCTTCTACAAGGTCAGATGTGCAAGACAAGCGGGGCTGAGCCGTCGAGACTGTAACAGTGTAAAACGTGTTCTAGATAAAACATGAGATCTGTAAGAGGTGGCTCTGCTCCTGCCGCAGCTCCAAGTGTCTGTGTGGCTCAGGCCTGAAGATCTGGAGTGCTGGCCTGCCCTAAGGAAGAGCCAGGGAGGTCTGAGTCTGAGCACACTCATTGCGCAGTCACAGGTGGGGTTCTGGGAAATGCCACGGCACATTCCACAGAACTGGACGGTGATCAGCAACACAGGCAATGTGGTGACATGTCAGACATTCCGGTCAAAGGATGAGGTCCAGTCAGTTGGAAAAAAAAAGTCCCTAAAGTGTGACATTTTAAACCTTTGGCTGATGATAAAGCAAAAAATTAAACTGTACTACACACTGTCGTCAACTGCCCAGACTCTTCTAGAAGCTAAATCCAAACATGGTGTCCCCTCAATTCTGTTCCATTAATTTGTTACAAGTTACCTGATGTTCCTGGCTCTAGAGAGAGGCACACAGCCCCTCTGTTGGTCACAGTAAGTATTGTATGGCTGTTTGGAAAAGGCTCTGCTGAAGCCGTTTTCTGGAGTGAGAAGCAGCCTTTGAAACTATCATAAAAGAGTAACTGAAATCTGCCCAAGCTCCCTCTAGCTGCGACCTGAACATGCGGCCCTGCTTGTAAATAGTCAGTACACCGACTCCAGCAACACATATCAGCTTGACTCCAGCAACACATATCAGCTTGTCGGAGGCCTTTCACTAGGCTTCCCTTTGACTCCCAATAGATGGAGGACACTCAGTTACCTGAGCTGAGGAGGAGCCAGTACGGCTTTTCTTATCTGACAGGCACACTCTGTATGGAGTCATCAGAAATAAAGAAAGCTGTCACCAGTCACCATCTTCTCTAAACTGGGTCTACTCCACCTGCCCTCAAGCCAGGCTGCTGAGGACAAGCCTGTGCCTGGTTTATAGCCTAGCCCCTTCTCTATGACGCGCAAGCTGCTCTTCAACTCCGCAGGGGCAGGGAAGGAGGGATGGCAGGAGAGATCCTCTGCAGTGGGCAGCAGGCTCCTCTCCTGAAGGCAGCTGGGGCCTCTGGGAGGCACTGTGCTTTAGTGCTAGGGAATGTTGCCTGGGAGGTCACATCACGTATGTCACAGATTTACCCTGGAACCCAACTGCAAGTGCTCCAACTGAATAAATACAATGGAAAAACGCATAAGCCTGGGGGCTACCCAGTTGGAGGGCAGAATGGCCATGAGGTGTCTGCGCTGTGACTCCCCCTTGGGAAGTGCTGCCAACGCCGCCCCTCTTTTAGTCTCCTCACACCACACGCAACAAATGAAGGAGCCACACTACCGCAATTCGTCCTCAGACGTACTTATTAGGGCCCACCCTCCCGCTCAGCAAAGGTCCCAGCACACCCTGTGGTGCCCAGGAAGTCTCAGGGACGAGTCTCTGAAGGTCACTTGCCCCTCTTGCTTCGGCCCTTCCTGGACTGCAGCTTCCCACCAGCACTGGAGGGGGGTGGGTTGGGGGCTGCGGCCATGGCAATGTTGATCTGCCCTTCCTGGATCTCCTGCCTCGTCTCTGCTGGCAGGTGGCTGATCTGCTGCTGTGTCTCCAGGTAGAACATGACATCACGCAGCTGCTCCTGGACCTCAGTGATCTGCAGGTCCTTCTGGGCACAGGTTTCCTTCAGCAGCTTTTCCTCCTCCTTCAGCTTGTTCTGTAGAAGTAGCTGGTTGGCCCGGAGACACTTGTTCAGCTCCTGCTCCTCCTGTAGCTCCGTGCTGAGCTTGGCCACTCTGGTGTTCAGCTGAGTACACCTGGAGCAAAACAGAGGGAGACAGAGCTGGCTTCACTGGGGACCTCAGAAGCTACCGGTGCTGAGCTCAGCAGCAGCAGAGACACAGCCATGATGAGAAAGCCACACAGGAAAGAATCATTCTCTGAGACATGTGCTCTGCCCTCACTAATTTGCTAAAGGAGGGAAAGGGGTCAAGAGTGGGGTGCTCTGCCCTCAATTTTCACTCCTCCACAGAGAGTTACAAATCAAGACACCAGAGGAGGTAGGTACCATTTTTATGTGTCAGAATGTCAAAGAAGCCAGTTATGGTAGCTCCAGCCTCAGCATTCAAGAAGCTAAGCCAGCAGGAGGATTCGAACTCAGGGCTAGTATAGGCCACAGCATGAGACTCCATCTCAAAACACCAAACCGAAGCTTGGTTTTGTGGCATACATCCTTAATCCCAGCACCTTAATCCCAGGAAGTGGCAGGCAGATCTCTTTGAGTTCCAGACCAGTCTGGTCTATATAGTAAGATCAGGCCAGCCAGGGCTACCTAGCAACACCCTGTTTCAAAAATAAAAAAAAAAAAACAACCAAGATGAGAAACAATAAAGGAAGATACCCAGTTCTGACCTCTGGCCACCTGTGAACACATATATCACACACAGATAACACACACCACACACACCACACACACCACACAGGCGCACAAAACACACACCACACACACCACACAGATATCACACCACACACACCACACACATCACACACAGATATCACACCACACACACCACACACA